GGCAAGCGAGCTTCCAGCTCTTTTCCCTGCAGTCATCTGCCTCCATCCCACCAGAACTCATGCCCTCGAGGGCAAGGACTTGGCCCGTCTGTTCCCCTCGCTGTGCTCAGCGCCTGAGCAGAGTGCCTGGCACTTTATAAGAGCCTAGTAACTGTGGTGGCCGAATGATCCGACAGGCTCTCAGTGCCTCAGTGCAGCCAGGCCCGTGCTGTGCAGGTTTACAAAGCGGTTTGTTTTGTTTTGTTTTGTTTTGTTAGAGGTTTATGCCATAGGGTGCACTTGCCAGAGAGAAAGAGAGACAGAGACAGTGAGAAAGTAAGAAATCACCCTCTGGGGGTGGACAGCCATGCCACAATCCCTTCCCCTCCCAGGATCCTAGGCATGCAACGCACATGCCCAGCATGATTATCAAGCCACCAGTTCGGGGACTCAAACCAGGATCGGCTGTGTGGGAGTCCAGGAATGTAACCACTATGCCATCTGCTAGTCCCATGCCTGGCATGTTTTTTTTTAAGTCACAGAGGCCAGGACTCCAACTGCAGTCGGCTCTGTGGCTTCCTGCTCCCTTAACCACTAGGCCATGGGTCCAACCCATATATTCTGAATTTGAATCAACAGCACCTATTTTATTCTGGGGCTTAATCCAGTCTCTGGAGCTGAACTAGCAAGTGCCCTTTCCCCATAAGCAAAAAGGCAGGGATGGTTATCCCCTGTCAGGGCCATGCCTGCCTCTTCAGTTCTCTGAGCTGCCAAAGCAGCGCCACCTCTTCTAGAAACCTAACTCTCTAAAACTCAGCACACCAATCCTCCCATCCATCCTTGGTTTCTGATTCCACACTAGATGGTGCCCAGCCCCTGGCACTGGCTGATGCTGCAAGCTTAACAGGATGCCTCTGTTTTCTAACTTCATAGAATGTTCTGGAAGGGCTGAGATCCAGGCACTGTATTTCCCCCAGTCCCATAGGCCTGTCTCACTGTGGTGCAGTGAGGTTTCATTCTGGTCCAAATACATTTGGGGAGAGGATGCTTGGGGTCTGACATTATTTGTCCTTGAGCTGAAGGACAAATTGGAAAACATGTCAGCCAGCAGGAGAAAGGGGAAGAACTTCTGAAGGAAGACATGCTGCCTGCAAAGCCTGCTGGACTGCACGGCGAGACAGTGTGTCTGGAACACCCTGCAGGCCCCCTCCAGCAGAGACGGGCACCCCGGGCCCTGACACGGGGCTCCTTACCAATTTCTCCTGGAACCTGTTTGCCGTGGAAGCTGAAGCAGGCCGTGACGTTCAGGCAGTTCACCGGCTGCTGACCGTCGTGACACTGAGGCGCTGTGATGTTGATGGAGCCTGGGAGGAAGATGGAGACGTCTACCGTGATGACGGGTCTCGCTCTGCAAGGCAAGAGGGGACGGTAACGCAACCGTGTTAAAAAGCAGCTCTCAGAACCAAACGAAGCTATACCGACAGGACAAATTCTGGCATTTTTCTTTCCTCCTGTCAGATGATATATGCATAAGCACCTACGAGTGGGCGAGCAAGCAAGTGGGAGCACAGAGGCATGTGTACCCTCCCAAAGGGTCTGGTCACGCCACAGTCCATTTTCCCTCAATACTCTATCCCACCGGGATCCCGGGCATGCGAGTGTGTGCTCAGCCCCTAAGGCCAAGGCCAAGACTCAGACCCTGGTCGGCCACGTGGAAGCTGGCTTCCTCTGCACAGTGCTTAACTGCTGTGCTGCTGGGCCAGCCTGGCCTAACATCTGACTCATGTAAGAAACAACCCTAGTGTGCGAGCTTTTCCTGGTTTTAGAAGTAGCGTATTTCTTTTTTTTTTTTTTTTGGAGAGATTTTGGCTATAGGGCACGTGCGCTCACCAGACAGACAGAGAGAGACAGAAAGCCAGAAATCACCCCCCTCAGGGGGGATGGTCATGCTGCAATCCCTTCTCCTCCATTCTCCTCTTGGGATCTTGGGCACGCACGCACACGCGCCCGGCATTGAGTTCTAAGCCACCGGGTCCGGGACACGAACCGCAGTCGACTATGTGGGAGTCCAGCAACATAGCCATTATGCTAACTGCTGGTTCCCTCCTTTTTTTTTTTTTCTTAATACCAGTTAAGGTTCTCATATAATGACAGAGAGAGACAGAAAGCAAAAAATAACCCCCCAGGGGGATGACCACGCCGCAATCCCTTCTCCCCCATTCTCCTCTCAGGATCTTCGGCATGCATGCACACACACCCGGCATGAGTTTAAGCCAATGGGTCTGAGACTTGAACTGCGGTCAGCTACATGGGAGTCCAGTGGCATAGTCATTACGCCAACTGCTGATCCCAGACGTAGCAGATTTCCTAATAAATTAATTGCTAGCCTTTCCAAAATAACAGCAAGTTAGGAGTTAATAAAACCACATTGGTTTGAAGCCCCCCACTGAACTACCAGATGCTGGGTGATTATTCGGTTTTACCGATTCATTCCGACTTCCACTGTGTTAGAAAGATATGAATACGTTTGAGGAGCTTCTTGATGGATGTCATGACTGGGGACTGCCCTGGGCACTTACTGCCATTAGAAGCGTGAACTGCTCATCCTGTCCAGTTGGTCAAACCTCCCCCTTCATTTACCTCCATCAAGTCATTGGCTATTTTCCTAAAGAACTTGATTAATGGAGTCCCAGCTGGACACAGCAAAAGCATTTTAGAGCAGAAGCAATCCACCCTCTTGGCCTCAGGTCCCAATAAACATCCACACGCTTGTCTCTGACACGGACGGTCCCCCAGAGCTTGATGGATGGTCAGTGTCGCAGGCTCCCGTGGGGGCGGTCAGACAAAAGCTGGGAGTGAGTCACACCATTCTGCTCTTGCCAGCAACATCTGCTCAGGGACGGGTCACCTAAGCTGCGGCTTAACCTCCCCCTCCAGGCTCACAAAGAGACCCTTTTGCCTGTAAGGATTCCCCCACCCTCACGCTGCTGGGGCGACATAACAAGATTAAGGGGCTTTAGTGGCTTAAGAACAATGACCTCACTTGTGTACTTTGATCCCTCCAAGGGCACCTGGGGCGACAGGATGCATGGAAATGAGAATCCACACCAAGAGTTAAGGAAAACCGGGGTGAAAAAAGGAAGTGAGGGGAGACTCGCAGCACAGATGGGGTGAGGGGGCTCCACTGCTTCGCTGTCCCCAGAGATGCAGGTCAACAGAGGGAGAGCTGTGACAGTGGCATGGGGTTGCATGACTCTCAGGAAATCTAGCCACGGGAGGAAGTCAGACAATAGTCCCTGGTCTCTCCATTTTCTCCTCGGTTCACCCTGAGAAGATTCTAGAAATATCTTAGAAAGTGGAGAGTTTATGCCTAGTCGATGTGACCGTACAGATGCCAATGGACACCCTACCAAGCCAGGCTGACCCTTCAACAGGAGCTCAAAGTCCCTCTCCCAGGAAGCCTTCCCTGGCACACCTTACAGTTCGATGTCCTCCCTCTCTGTGGTCCCAGCTCTGCAAACACACCTCTGTCCCCTGCTAAATAAAGTGAATAGTCATTTGCTAATTCTAAACCTGCCCCACCAGCCTGCAGCCCCCCAGGGCCAGGAGCCCAGTAAATTCACCCTCGGCCTTGTTAAACAGGTGCACACTTTACTCCAGCCCAGGGGGACCACAGACCACAGCAGGGCCCAAAGTTTCACCAACGAACAGGAGCGAGCGCAGAGCCAGCCTGCAGCATGTGACAGTCCTGCCTGTGCAGTCCCGGACAGGCCTGGCCCCCTGTACAGAAAAAGCGCAGCCTGTCACATCCTCCTGAGTGTCCACCTCAGCAGGGAGAGGGCCAAGTCCTCTGCTCACAGGACACTGCGGCAGAACACGGTGGGCAGGAAACAGAGGGAGCCGTCCATCCAGAGTGACCTCGGCCAAGGTCCTGGAAACAGAGCCCTCTGCAAGGGCCAACAGGGACCCTCGCAGGTACATCGGCCGCCACATCTGTCAGCTCGGTTCCCTCAGACCTTTGTGTGTCAACCGCAAGTATTGTTTTTGGATGAAGGAAGCCCAGATATCTTTCATAAGCCTCTCTGGTCACTTCCTGTGACCTCTGGTGGTGGCCCAGCACCAGGTGCCTATCACCCAGCACAGGATGCCCGCCTGAGCTAATCCCAGGCAAGCAAGCTTCCTGAGGGCAGAGCTGGGACCGCCCACACTCCTGGGGGAGACAGGGTAATGAGATTGAGTTCCACAGCCCCAGCCATAACGTGCCAGCCTCTGAGATCAAAGCAAGGGGCACCCGAGGACAATGAGTGCAGACGAGCTTTTAGGACTTTGTTCTTTTTCCCCAGAGAGAGAGACAGAGAGAGGAAACGCCTTGCCATGCGGCATGGCCATGCTGTAACCCCTTCCCCTCCATTTCTCCAGCCTGTCAGGACTGGGGCACTCATACCCGGCATATTTTTCCAAGTGCTGGGCTGGGATTTGAGCTGCCCAGTCGGCCATGTGGGATCCAGCTCCCTTAACCACTAGGCCACGGGGCCAGCCTGGGGATCTTTTTTTTTTTTTTTTTTTTTTTAAAAACGCAGTAGGTGGGTTTTTTTTTCTATAGAGAGTATGGTGTATAAGTGTAAACCTGTATTAACAAAGGTCATCTTTAGGAGGAAGTACAGCAAATATAGGCACTGAGTCACCAATGTCAGACAGAAGGGGGAGAATAATTTCTTTGATTTATTAATGGGTTCCCGGGGGCCAGCCTGGGGAGGTTTTTTTTTTTTTTTTTTTTTTTTTAAGAAGCTAGTAGCTGGAATGCTGCTTTCTGATGGCTGGCAGTTCAAATCCTGATGCTGTACCACCAGGTAGGTACACAATACCGCCAGCCAGGATGTCTTTGCCATGACGCTGTTCTCACTGCCCCCGCCTTTTGCAGAGCAGAGACCATGGGCAGATAAAGTGACTGCACCCTTCGTGACATGTTAATTGACTAAACCAGCCTTGGGACCACCTCCCTCCAGGGAGCTAACTTATGTCTGCCCAGTTTAAAGTCACTGTCCATCAGTTGATCTGCAAGCTGCAGACTAAAGAAGCGTTCCTGACCCACTCATCTCTGGGCACGCTCCTGCAGGACACCCGAGAACAATCAGTACAGTGTGCATTGACACGTCCACACGCCTGTCTCCAAGCCCTCCCTTCTCAGAGGCCCACCCCAAATCTGAAGCAACTCAAAAACCGAACTGTCAGGTAGGCAGGACAGAGCCCTCCACTTAGCTCAGACCGCGGAGCCTCCTGGCCTTCCTGCTCTCGCTATCCAGCTGCATCCCAGCTCCTCAGCAACTGACGCCATGACAGACGCCACACTGCCCCGCCCCACACACGCTCGGCAGTCCCTTTCCTGTCTCCCCTGGCTTTCTCTGAGGGGTCACAGCTCTCCTGGAAAATCTCTCATCCCCGAGTCCCTGCCCTCAGGGAACAGACCGGGATGATCACCTCCGGCTTCACCATCACTCCCATCTCAACAGGAACCTCGTCCTGATGCTATTCCCATCTCGGGACTGGCTCAGAGATGAGGCTCCCTCACTCCCCAACCTGAGTCTCAGATGCCCCTCTTCTCACCAGCCTTCCGCACCCCTGCTGCAGCCCCCTCCTCCCTCCTGTCTCTTCCACCTCTCCAGGCCCCAAGGTAAGAATAGGGTCAAGACATCCTACAAACGTGGGTGATGCAGAGGTGACCTCTAACTCCTTCCAGAAGGGTAAGGAGACCAAGGAAAGTCTCAGAGACAGTCTTGGCTCAATGGTGCCAAGGTGCCACTGGTCCACAGGTGCCCATCCTCAGAACACGGTCTACGAACCACCTGCCAATCCCACTGGCTCCTTTGAAGCGAGCCTTCTGGAAAGGCCATCGAGAAGCACTGTCTGTTTTCTGGTTTCTCCATCCCCCCACCACCCACAGCCGCCTGATGTTTTCCTCATCACTCTCCAGTGCTCACAGGGCTGAATGCACCACCGACCGCTCACCGCCCCTCCAGCAGGACCCCAGCCTCGCGCTGCCTGGCCGTCCTGCTCCACTGGATGCCATGGCTGTTGGCCGCGTTGTTTTATTGTCTTCATGACACTCGCCACCACCTGGAATCATCATTTTCTTTAACCCAACCTGCATTCCCTCAGGCTCCTCACCATAACATAGAAATCATAACAATATCTGTGTCTTAAAAGAGCTCAGAGTTTTTCATACGTAAATGCCTAGGACACTCAGTGGATGGAATATACCCTGGGATCAGAAAAACAATACCGCGAGGAATTTGGGAAACATCATATGGAAGGAAGGCGGCCAGAAACAAGAGTGTATATGGTATTCTCACACTCACACGGAATTCCAGAACAGGCAAAAGTGATCTGTGGTGACAGAAACTAGAACGGTCCATGGGGATAATGACAGGCACAGAGAGGTTCCATCTTAATGACGTCACCACCTGGGGATACAACAGCCACCTTCGGATACTGAAGGGCTGCTGTATAGGAGAATTTTAGGGAGGCAAATTTAACTCGATTTATGCAAGACTTAAGCACTGAAACCAGGTTCTATTCTAAGCATTTTATTAGTACTTAGACTACTGTTAGCCTGTTCAGCGCCTGAGGATCCTGGGCGGTCTGCCTAGTGGTTAGGGGAGCCCGAGTCCACATGGCCAACTGCAGCTAGAATCCCAGCACCGGCAGTTTGAAGAACACACTGGGTGTGTGTGTGTGTGTGTGTGTGTGCGCGCGCCCCAGATCCCAAAGGGATGGTGAAATGGAGGAGAAGGTACTGCAGTGTGACCACACCCCACTGGGGTGGCCTTCTCTCCCTCTCTCTTTGTTTCTTTCTAGCAATGACACATATACTCTAACAATTAAGAAAAAAAAAATACAGGCCAGCCAGGTGGCATAGTAGTTAAGGCAGCTGGATCCCACAGAGCCAACTGCTTTGTTTGAATCCCAGACCCAGCAGATTAGAAAATCTGTTGGGCACCTGTGCATGCATGCCCCAAATCCCAAGAATGGAGAGGGGATGGCAATGTGGCCATCCTTCTTCTACTGTACTTCTCTTCTCTCCTCTCTCTCCTCCCTTCTCTTTCTCTCTCTCCCCTCTCTCAGGCAAGTCCACAGACCCTACTGCAAAAACTAAAAACAAAAACAAAAAAATGAACAGAGAAGACAATAACAAACAACAGAAAGAACAACAGAGGAGACTCGTGAAGCAGACGCAGCAAGGCCATGAGTCTTGCTCATCCAGGCAGGGTCTGAGCCCAGGCCACATGCCTCAAGGTCAGGTACCACCTCAGAATTCTGCACCTCTAACTAGTCAATGTTTAGTTACCTGGAAGCTAACCAGTTCCCTTAGCAGCTGCTGAGTCCCCACCCCCCAGCGCCTCGTTTAAGAAGAGGCTGTGTTGGGACCAGCGGATGGCTAAAGAGTTAACAGGTTTGAGTCCCAGACCCTGTGGCTTAAAACTCATGCCGAGAGCGTGTGCGTGTGTGCCCAGAATCCTGAGAGGAGAATGGAGGAGAAGGGATTGCAGTGTGGTCATCCTCCCTGGGGGGTGATTTCTTGCTTCTTGTCTCTCTGTCTCTCCAGCGACTACACGCGCCCTATACCAAAAATCTCTCTCTAAAAAGCAGAGTCCATGGGGCTCTGCAGTGGAGCCTCTGAACGAGGCATGGCTGAATAGGGAGAATCTGGAGCCGGAGCTCCATGGCCTCTGGGATCGCTTCCAGCTCCAAGCTCCCACTAATCTATTTTAGACAGCTCTGCCACGAGGGTATTAACAAAATCGAAGACTGCACGCGCCCTATACCAAAAATCTCTCTCTAAAAAGCAGAGTCCATGGGGCTCTGCAGTGGAGCCTCTGAACGAGGCATGGCTGAATAGGGAGAATCTGGAGCCGGAGCTCCATGGCCTCTGGGATCGCTTCCAGCTCCAAGCTCCCACTAATCTATTTTAGACAGCTCTGCCACGAGGGTATTAACAAAATCGAAGAGCTGGCTCCCACTCCGAGGGGTAATTTTGCCTCCTCTGACTCACACAGACAAAAATACTTGGGGATGGTCTGCTGGCGGCGATGGCAGACCACTGGCCCTTGTGGGACAGAGTGGCACTGCACAGGCTTCAGCCAGCATGGGTCTGAGTGCACCAAGTCTTTCATTTCTGCTGCCACCAGGAACGAAGTGCTCTCCAGTTCCTAGACGCTGGGGACTAAGGATGAGAGGTGACGGGATGGAGAGATGGGACGCACAGGCCTTGCCCTTAGAGCGTCCTGGCACTCACAGGAAATGATAATATTTGTGCAGCACGTTAACAGAAGGGGCGATTCATGGCCAAAGACAAAGCTTTCTTCGAAAGCTTCAGGCATCCCAAACCCTGCCTAGAAGCGCTGGGGATACTATCAGTGCACACCTGTAAGCTATTCATGGCCCACCAGCTGGCACCTCTAGGACCAAGGATGCAAAGAATGAGAAAATAAAGGCAGCATGCTCACTCGCTAAGCACCTCTGCTTGCAAGGAACAGGACAGAGGAAGAGCTGATGGTGAATAGCTCCCCCGTGCCTTCCCAACCAAACGCCATCCCTTGCCCATGAAGAAGGTAATCCCCGGAGTTAGAGAAAGTCATCTCACCTTAGAAGAACCACACTGTCGGACATGAAGGCTCCAATAGTGACATCTGAAACGAGAAGTTCGTATATTCGTAAGTTCAGCTATGTGTTGAAGCCCATCACCAATGACCCTCTGGCAAGGTGACCTACAACCACAGAGGTCTGGCCTTGAGGTCCCAGAGCTCTCCAACAGCCACTGTCAGGGTTATATAATAATTACATCAAAATTATGGTCACACTGTCGAGACCTTGAAATGTGGCTGGCATGGGACCAGCAGATGGCATAATGGTGAAGTCACTAGACTCCTACGTAGCCAACTGTGGTTCTAGTCCTGGACCCAGTGGCTTAAAATTCATGCCGGGTGCATGTGCATGTGTGCCTAAAATCTTGAGAGGAGAATGGAGAAGGGACTGCAGTGTGGCCATCCCCCTGGGGGATGATGTCTCGCTTTCTGTCTCTTCAGCAAGCAGATGCACCCTATAGCAAAAATCTCACCAAAAAGAAAAAAAAATTATAAATTATATATATATATACACACACACACATATATATGACTACCATGAATTCAGATGTGCTAGGATATAAAACACACATGAGAATTCAAAGATCTAGATCAAAAAGCATTAACTATCACTTTGTTGTTTTTATACCAATCCTATGTTCACAATAAATTGACTACATTAAGCTAAAAAAATAAAAATCACCTCCCCCTGATTTATTAAAATCATTTTTATGTGATTACCAGGCTATTTCAAATCATGGAACCAGCAGATGGTGTAAGGGTTACGTCCCCAACTCCCACATAATAAACTGCAGTTCGAGTCCCAGGCCCGGTGGGTTAAAACTGACGCCAGGTGCGTGTGCGTGTATGCCCAAAATCCCAAAAGGAGAATGAAGGAGAAGGGACTGCAGCATGGCCAACCCCTTGGAGGTGATTTCTCACTTTCTCTCTGCCTCTGTCTCTCCAGCAAGCACACACACCCGATAGCAAAAATCTCTCGTAAAAAAAATTTACACATGTGGCCCATGCTAGATGTTTTAAACATCGGTAAATTAAATAAAGGGGTATCTACAACTCCTGGAAATACTCCGCCAGCCCTTACTCCATGCCACCTCAGAGCCTCTTGTGGTCCTTGTCTATGAAAAGGTTTCAAAAGCTGAAAACCTTTCTTCATATTTATGCCAGCAAATGTTTATCAAATATTTTCATTAACCATAATAGTAAGTGCTCAGGAACTACATTAAATATATTAAATCAGATATGGGAAAATTCATGAAAATATTTGGTAAGCTATAAACCAAGACACTGGTTTAGTGCGAATACTTTTTCCTAAAGAACTTTAACTGAGGCAGTAATCATTCGCCCAGTCGTTCACTTCCTTCTGAGCCCCCCAATAGAAACCTTTTTGCCCTGAGGTTCCCATGACTACTTCACAGAACCAAGTATCTGAGCCCAAGAGTCTGAGTCTGCCCATCACCTGATGACAGCTACGTGATGAGCCCTTTAAGGAAAAACACAGAAAATCCATGGGTTACAGTGTCCCTGAATTTCTGTCCTTGAATGTGTTTATTAATTTTGCTGTTCTTTGATATCTCTTTTGATAGGTGCTTTTTTAAAAGAATTTTTCGATTTAATTTTATTTCCTCTTATTGTTATTATTTATTTGAGAGAGAGAGAGAGATTTTTGCTATATGACGTGTGTGCTCGCTGGAGACAGAAAGTGAGAAATCACCCTCCAGGGGTATGGCCAGACCACAATCCCTTCTCCTCTATCCTCCTCTTGAGATCTCAGGCACACATGCACACGTGCCCAGCGTGAGGTGTAAACCACCTCATCTGTGATTCAGACAATGGTCAATTATGTGGACGTTGAGCAGCAGAACCATGACACCATCGGCTGGTCCCTATTACTATTTTTTAATTTGCTATTAGACACGTGCACACAACAGAGAGCGAGCATGAGCAAGACAGAAAGTGAGAAAGCAAGCTGCCAGGTCTGGGACTCGAACTGCGGTCGGCCATGTAAGAGTCCAGCACCTTAACCACCATGTCACCTGATGATCCCTTGATTGGATGTTTCAAAACAAAAGAACCAGATGGCATAATGGTTATGTCACTGGACTCCCACGTAGTCGACCGTGGTTCGAGTCCCAGACATGGAGACTTAAAACTCACACCGGGCGCGTGTGCGTGCGTGCCCAGGAACCCAAGAAGAGAATGGAGGAGAAGGGATTGCGGCGTGGCCATCCCCCCTGGGGGTGAGTTCTCACTTTCTGTCTCTAGGGCGTGCTGGCAAGCATGTGCGTCCCATAGCAAAATCTCTCTTAAAGAATAAAAATAAATTTAAAATTTTTTAAAAGATCAATTTGTCATTTCTCTTATGAAAAATGCATAAAAAAGAGTTCTGAGACCTGCTATAAAATATGAGCCCACTTGCTCACAGTCCAATTACAGAGAAGCCCGGGTCTCTGTCTCTGTCCAGCAGGCTCCAGCCCACCCCTACCCTTTCTTCCCCTTTTTTTTTTTTTGGAGAG